TGTGTGAATGCGCAGGACTGTCGGGAGGCTCTGCGTGAGTGCGCAGGACTGTCGGGAGGCTCTGTGTGAATGCTCAGGACTGTCAGGAGGCTCTGCGTGAGTGCGCAGGACTGTCGGGAGGTTCTGCGTGAGTACGCAGGACTGTCGGGAGCCTGTGTGAATGCGCAGGACTGTCGGGAGGCTCTGTGTGAATGCGCAGGACTGTCGGGAGGCTCTGCGTGAGTACGCAGGACTGTCGGGAGGCTCTGTGTGAGTGCTCAGGACTGTCGGGAGTCTCTGTGTGAATGCGCAGGACTGTCGGGAGGTTCTGCGTGAATGCTCAGGACTGTCGGGAGGCTGTGTGAATGCGCAGGACTGTCGGGAGGCTCTGCGTGAGTGCGCAGGACTGTCGGGAGGCTGTGTGAATGCGCAGGACTGTCGGGAGGCTCTGCGTGAGTGCGCAGGACTGTCGGGAGGCTGTGTGAATGCGCAGGACTGTCGGGAGGCTCTGCGTGAATGCTCAGGACTGTCGGGAGGTTCTGCGTGAGTGCTCAGGACTGTCGGGAGGCTCTGCGTGAGTGCGCAGGACTGTCGGGAGGCTCTGTGTGAGTACTCAGGACTGTCGGGAGGCTCTGCGTGAATGCTCAGGACTGTCGGGAGGTTCTGCGTGAGTGCTCAGGACTGTCGGGAGGCTCTGCGTGAGTGCTCAGGACTGTCGGGAGGCTCTGTGTGAGTGCTCAGGACTGTCGGGAGGCTCTGCGTGAGTGCGCAGGACTGTCGGGAGGCTGTGTGAATGCGCAGGACTGTCGGGAGGCTCTGCGTGAGTGCGCAGGACTGTCGGGAGGCTCTGTGTGAATGCGCAGGACTGTCGGGAGGCTCTGCGTGAGTGCGCAGGACTGTTGGGAGGCTGTGTGAATGCTCAGGACTGTCAGGAGGCTCTGCGTGAGTGCGCAGGACTGTCGGGAGGTTCTGCGTGAGTACGCAGGACTGTCGGGAGCCTGTGTGAATGCGCAGGACTGTCGGGAGGCTCTGTGTGAATGCGCAGGACTGTCGGGAGGCTCTGTGTGAGTGCGCAGGACTGTCGGGAGGCTCTGCGTGAGTGCGCAGGACTGTCGGGAGGCTCTGTGTGAGTGCTCAGGACTGTCGGGAGGCTCTGTGTGAATGCTCAGGACTGTCGGGAGGCTCTGTGTGAGTGCTCAGGACTGTCGGGAGGCTCTGCGTGAGTGCGCAGGACTGTCGGGAGGCTGTGTGAATGCGCAGGACTGTCGGGAGGCTCTGTGTGAGTGCTCAGGACTGTCGGGAGGCTGCGTGAGTGCGCAGGACTGTCGGGAGGCTCTGTGTGAGTGCTCAGGACTGTCGGGAGGCTCTGCGTGAGTGCGCAGGACTGTCGGGAGGCTGTGTGAATGCGCAGGACTGTCGGGAGGCTCTGTGTGAGTGCTCAGGACTGTCGGGAGGCTGCGTGAGTGCGCAGGACTGTCGGGAGGCTCTGCGTGAATGCGCAGGACTGTCGGGAGGCTCTGCGTGAGTGCTCAGGAGTGTCGGGAGGCTGTGTGAATGTGCAGGAGTGTCGGGAGGCTCTGCGTGAGTACGCAGGACTGTCGGGAGGCTCTGCGTGAGTGCGCAGGACTGTCGGGAGGCTCTGCGTGAGTGCGCAGGACTGTCGGGAGGCTGCGTGAGTGCTCAGGACTGTCGGGAGGCTCTGCGTGAGTGCTCAGGGCTGTCGGGAGGCTCTGCGTGAGTGCCCAGCACTGTCGGGAGGCTCTGCGTGAGTGCGCAGGACTGTCGGGAGGCTCTGCGTGTGTACGCAGGACTGTCGGGAGCCTGTGTGAATGCGCAGGACTGTCGGGAGGCTCTGTGTGAATGCGCAGGACTGTCGGGAGGCTGTGTGAATGCTCAGGACTGTCGGGAGGCTCTGTGTGAGTGCTCAGGACTGTCAGGAGGCTCTGCGTGAGTGCGCAGGACTGTCGGGAGGTTCTGCGTGAGTACGCAGGACTGTCGGGAGCCTGTGTGAATGCGCAGGACTGTCGGGAGGCTCTGTGTGAATGCGCAGGACTTTCGGGAGGCTCTGCGTGAGTGCGCAGGACTGTCGGGAGGCTGTGTGAATGCGCAGGACTGTCGGGAGGCTCTGTGTGAATGCTCAGGACTGTCAGGAGGCTCTGCGTGAGTGCGCAGGACTGTCGGGAGGTTCTGCGTGAGTACGCAGGACTGTCGGGAGCCTGTGTGAATGCGCAGGACTGTCGGGAGGCTCTGTGTGAATGCGCAGGACTTTCGGGAGGCTCTGCGTGAGTGCGCAGGACTGTCGGGAGGCTGTGTGAATGCGCAGGACTGTCGGGAGGCTCTGTGTGAATGCTCAGGACTGTCAGGAGGCTCTGCGTGAGTGCGCAGGACTGTCGGGAGGCTCTGCGTGAGTACGCAGGACTGTCGGGAGCCTGTGTGAATGCGCAGGACTGTCGGGAGGCTCTGCGTGAGTGCTCAGGACTGTCGGGAGGCTGTGTGAGTGCGCAGGACTGTCGGGAGGCTCTGTGTGAGTGCTCAGGACTGTCGGGAGGCTCTGTGTGAATGCTCAGGACTGTCGGGAGGCTCTGTGTGAATGCTCAGGACTGTCGGGAGGCTCTGCGTGAATGCTCAGGACTGTCGGGAGGCTCTGCGTGAATGCTCAGGACTGTCGGGAGGCTGTGTGAATGCGCAGGACTGTCGGGAGGCTGTGTGAATGCGCATGACTGTCGGGAGGCTCTGTGTGAATGCGCAGGACTGTCGGGAGGCTCTGCGTGAGTGCTCAGGACTGTCGGGAGGCTCTGCGTGAGTGCGCAGTACTGTCGGGAGGCTCTGTGTGAATGCGCAGGACTGTCGGGAGGCTCTGTGTGAGTGCTCAGGACTGTCGGGAGGCTCTGTGTGAATGCGCAGGACTGTCGGGAGGCTCTGCGTGAGTGCTCAGGACTGTCGGGAGGCTCTGCGTGAGTGCGCAGTACTGTCGGGAGGCTCTGTGTGAATGCGCAGGACTGTCGGGAGGCTCTGTGTGAGTGCTCAGGACTGTCGGGAGGCTCTGTGTGAATGCGCAGGACTGTCGGGAGGCTGTGTGAATGCGCAGGACTGTCGGGAGGCTCTGCGTGAGTGCGCAGGACTGTCGGGAGGCTGTGTGAATGCGCAGGACTGTCGGGAGGCTCTGCGTGAATGCTCAGGACTGTCGGGAGGCTCTGCGTGAATGCTCAGGACTGTCGGGAGGCTCTGCGTGAGTGCGGAGGACTGTCGGGAGGCTCTGTGTGAGTGCTCAGTACTGTCGGGAGGCTCTGCGTGAGTGCGCAGGACTGTCGGGAGGCTCTGTGTGAATGCGCAGGACTGTCGGGAGGCTCTGCGTGAGTGCGCAGGACTGTCGGGAGGCTCTGCGTGAGTGCTCAGGACTGTCGGGAGGCTGTGTGAATGCGCAGGACTGTCGGGAGGCTCTGCGTGAGTGCTCAGGACTGTCGGGAGGCTCTGCGTGAGTGCGCAGAACTGTCGGGAGGCTCTGCGTGAGTACGCAGGACTGTCGGGAGGCTGTGTGAGTGCGCAGGACTGTCGGGAGGCTCTGTGTGAGTGCTCAGGACTGTCGGGAGGCTGTGCGTGAATGCTCAGGACTGTCGGGAGGCTCTGCGTGAATGCTCAGGACTGTCGGGAGGCTCTGTGTGAATGCGCAGGACTGTCGGGAGGCTGTGTGAGTGCGTAGGACTGTCGGGAGGCTCTGTGTGAGTGCTCAGGACTGTCGGGAGGCTCTGTGTGAATGCTCAGGACTGTCGGGAGGCTGTGTGTGAATGCTCAGGATTGTCGGGAGGCTCTGCGTGAGTGCGCAGGACTGTCGTGAGGCTCCGCGTGAGTACGCAGGACTGTCGGGAGGCTCTGTGTGAGTGCGCAGGACTGTCGGGAGGCTCTGCGTGAATGCTCAGGACTGTCGGGAGGCTCTGCGTGAGTGCTCAGGACTGTCGGGAGGCTCTGCGTGAGTGCGCAGAACTGTCGGGAGGCTCTGCGTGAGTACGCAGGACTGTCGGGAGGCTGTGTGAGTGCGCAGGACTGTCGGGAGGCTCTGCGTGAGTGCGCAGGACTGTCGGGAGGCTCTGCGTGAGTACGCAGGACTGTCGGGAGGCTGTGTGAATGCGCAGGACTGTCGGGAGGCTCTGTGTGAGTGCTCAGGACTGTCGGGAGGCTCTGTGTGAGTACGCAGGACTGTCGGGAGGCTGTGTGAATGCGCAGGACTGTCGGGAGGCTCTGCGTGAGTGCGCAGGACTGTCGGGAGGCTCTGCGTGAGTGCGCAGGACTGTCGGGAGGCTCTGCGTGGGTGCTCAGGACTGTCGGGAGGCTCTGCGTGAATGCTCAGGACTGTCGGGAGGCTATGTGTGAATGCTCAGGACTGTCGGGAGGCTCTGCGTGAATGCTCAGGACTGTCGGGAGGCTCTGTGTGAATGCTCAGGACTGTCGGGCAGACGTGACGGCGTCTGGTCCAGCGCGCTGACTCAAGGCCTTCGAAGTCTGGGCCCACACCTTCTGCAGTGGGGCTGCACTCTGCCCTCCATCTGCACAGACTCCGGGAGGGCACCAGACTCTTCACGGCCTTCACCACCTATCAAACCGAAGGGAAGGGGCGCATGAGCCCTGACCTCAGAGATGCCAGTGTCAGCCCCAGCTCTGCCTGCTTGCCCAAGGTGAATTCTGCAGATTGCCGAGGGGACAGCGGTACCTCTTGTCCTCATGCGAGGGACCCAGGCGCAGTCCCTTTCAAGAACACCGTGAATATGGACCGAGAACGGGGCTCCCAGGAGGCGAATAGTGGGTGTGGTGTCTGCACATACCCATGCCCAGGACAGAATCTGCCCAGCCAGCCTTCTTGTCCCCACAGCTCCCTCTTGGGGTGAGAGGCCAGGGGGCCAGTCCCAGAGGTGTGTGGGCTTTAGCTAGTCACTCCCATTGCAATGAGTTGAAAAACCCCCAGGACACAGACCATCGACTCAAAAACCCAATCTTGATTATAAGGAAATTTATTAGTAAAAGGAAATTTGCCAATAGCCAGTTATAACTGGCTGGGGTGGCTCTTAGGCATTGGGGACCCAGGAGGGCCCTGAATAGTCACAGGTGGAGTTCTTGTACCCCAGAGTGGTGTCCTGTAAACGGAGTCTTTCCAACGCTCCTTTGCAAGCCAAGCAAAATACAGAAGCAGAATACAGACGCCAAATATCTGCTTGTCAAAAAAAAAAAAAAAAAAATGTAGGCGCCGGGCCCACGCCCAGAGTAGAATAGGGTGCCACCACCCTTGTGCGCTAAGTTCCTCTTTGGGGGCCTCTGTGAGTCTGTCTGGCAGTTTCTTGCCATGGCTCCCGCGCGTCATCACGAGGCCCGCCCTGGCCTTCCAGCGCTGTGACGGCCGCGTGTGCTGCTGAGTGCGTCTTATTTACCTCATTCTGCAATCATGTCTCAGCTCCCTGTGCAGAGGGCAGTGCTGCGGGGCAGGTATGAAGGACTGAGGGGCCCGGAGGGCTGGCCTGGTGGATGGCCGTACACCTCCATCTCCTGCAGCTGAGAGCCTCTGGCCTTTGCTGAAATCTCTCCAGGCCTGGGGTGTGAACGTCCACTTGGAGCACCTCTGGAGGGCAACCACAGGCATCCACTGTGTGCACCCAAGTCTTCTTGCTCTGAGGATGCCTCGCGGGGTCAGCCCCCAGGCAGGCTCCAGCCCGACCCCATTGCCCCACGTCGGAGGAGTGGATCAGGCCCCTGGTTGTACACAGTGAAGGCTCGGGGGCTGGGCTCAGCCACTCCAACCCCTTGGAACAAAGCCTGGGGCTGTGTCCAGCCCTCCGTGTCAGACACAGGACACCTGCTGCTCCCAGCTTGCTGTGAGCCCTGTGAGAGCACCCCAGACCTGGAGGGACGCTGGGCCCTGGTGCAAAGCGTGCTTCTCTGTGTGTTGCCCGGGGGCAGGGGGTAGGCCCTGCTGGCTGAGGAGCTGGTCAGAGGGGCCAGGAGCAGCGTCCCTCCTCATGCGGTGCGGGCCGAGGACCCTGAGGGCCCTCTGCAGAGCCTCTGTGGTGGGCTGAGTTGCCTGGCCCACCAGGGAAGACCACCGTGGCATACTCGGTGTGCACACAGGAGGCGGAGGCGGGGGGCTCTGGGCTCTCCTCTCTCCGTTGGAAGTCTAGCTCTCCGTAGGCCACGGTGAACACCGGCACTGCCGACGGGTCTGCCTTCTTTGGGAGGGGAGAAAGGAGGAGTCAGCTCCGAGCAGCGGGCCGGGTCTCCACGACCTGGACCCCCGCCTGGTCGAGCCCATACTCTGTGACCCCATCTCTGATAGAGTAGATGCGCCTCAGCCATCAACCCCAGGGCTACCCCTCTGCACACAGCCCCTCCCGCTGGCTCACTCTCCACCTCCAAGCTGTCCCTGGATTCCCAATGTGCCTTTCCTGTGCTGCCCGGCGTAAGACGGCCCAGCCGGTTGCTCACCACCAGCTCACTGATGCTGCCAGCTAGCAGCGGGCATTGGTGGGGAGCAGGGTCGGTCCTTGGCCACCCCCAGGCAAGCCATGGCCAAGTTCTGTCTGTGCCGAGAGGCAGAGGGTGGTGGTCACTCAGGAAGGGCCGTACTCACCAGGGGCTGCACCTTGCTTTCATCTTTTCTGGCCTCTGCAGAGAAACACATGTTGAATCGAGGGGCGGAGGACCAGCTGCTCTCCCAAGGTGGGGTTTAGCTGGGGGCCCTGCCTGTGGGTGCCTGCGGGTCACACCCTCCTGGGGTTGGGGCAGCTCACCCAGCCCCCAGGTCTGTGTTTGTATGTAGATGGCAGACCCTCGGGTGGTGAGTGTGAGGGGTGTGTGTGTGCGCACACGCACGTGAGTGGACTTACCTGGCCTGTTCCTGGAGCAGACAGCAGCCAGGACCCAGGCAAGCAGCAGCAGCACTGGGACACCCACCAGGACACTTGTGACACCAACAATGAGGCCTTGAAACTGGCCTCCTGGCCTGGGGGCGGGGCTCGGGTGTGACGTGGGGGGCTCCAAGACTCTCTCTGGAGGGTCACAACGATAGATCGGGATCAGCGCCCCGAGGCGCATCCCTCAGAGCCACCGCCCCGCCTTCTCCAGGCCTGAGACCTGCCACGGCACCACCACTGCCCGGCACCACCACCGCCACCGCCCCGCCGGCCCCTGCACCGCCACCGCCCCACACCACCACCGCCCCACACCACCACCGCCCTGCACCACCACCGCCCCGCACCGCCACCGCCCAGCACCACCACCGCCCCGCGCCACCACCGCCCCGCGCCACCACCGCCCCGCACCACCACTGCCACCGCCCCGCACCACCACTGCCCCGCACCACCACCGCCCCGCACCACCACCGCCACTGCCCCGCACCACCACTGCCCCACACCACCACCGCCCCGCACCACCACCACCACCGCCCCACGCCACCACCACCACCGCCCCACACCACCACCGCCCCACACCACCACCGCCCCACACCACCACCGCCACCGCCCCACACCACCACCGCCCCAC